TGTTTAGTATTATTCTATTTGCAGCACTACTGTAATTATAAATCTCTACAAGGACCTACAAAATGAAGGAACTGTATCTTTCCATTGTGCAAAGAAACACAGCTGCTGCCTCGAGCTATACATGGCCCAACAAACCCAAATTCCCTGCAGTTGTGAGCTCACATCCCTACAGAGCAGCCTGAGCTCTTCCCCACACACAGGCACCAGTGGCTCCCAGCAGGCAGGGCTGGTGCACTCACTGGTGCACAGCCCAGCATTTCTTGCCCCATCAGTCACCAGTTTGGTCCTACAGACCCAGGTCTGGCACTGTCTGGGTGCTCCAAGCTCAGGATCTCCCTGCCAGGGTGGCAGAGCTGACCCCACTCTGCAGCTGATTTCCCACAGCTGCTCCTGCTACTTCACACGTGTCAAACACTGACCATTTTGTTTCCTGGCAGGAGCCCTGAAATTTAATCTCCTATTTCACTGTCTAAACCACTGAAATGAATATACCACAGAACCCAAGAATTCCTGTCTGAGGGAAGCAGCAGCCACAAAGCCGTGCCAACAGTGACACACTACAGAGACCCAGGCAGTGGAAGCAGCACAGCAATAAATTGCCTATTAACCCACTGAACTAAATTGTATTTCAAGAAAATGTATAGTGCTGGGCAGTCCAGGAAACCCCAAGTGAGAATGCACTTCATCCCTCAGAGATGCATTATCAAAGAGGGTTTGCAAATCTGTGTGGGCACGGCATTAACACCTTATTAAAGGTGCCTCGAAGCCATGAATATTAAAACTCACAAACATCTAAAAACCCCCAGAGCTCTCAGCAGGACTCTAAGTGACAATTTTTCAGCTGCAGCCAAGAATCAGAATATTTCCCCTAAGCTGGATCTTAAATACAGTATGTTTTTTAGATTTATAGCTGCAGACATGTAAGCACACACTTATTTGAGTATATACACTGCTCCATGCACACTGCCTGTGTTACACTGCTCCTCATCTCACCTTGCACCAACACAGATACAGAAGGTGTATGCAAGAATTGCCCTCACTGACTGCACATCAAACCAAAAATTCTGACTGCACAATCTTCTATTTTTTCTGCCTCTTCTCCCCATCAGATCAAAAAACCCTCCCTCCACTCACTCTAGGTTTCCCACTGACAGTAGTTATTTCAGGTTCCCATGAAGCTTCTACACAATCTGCCATTTCCTTCGTTCTTCCAGTCTCATCTGTTTACCTGACTTCACTTTACACCTGCCTGCTACACCAAAAGGGGATGTTCTCTCCCCACTGCATTTCCATTTTACACAAACTAATTCCCTGGATTTTTTCTCCTTGCCTGCCATGCATTCCAGAAGAGTGCTCTGACTTCAAAAGACAATTCTCCTTGAAGTTCTGCAGGCTCAGGTGCTCGAGGACAAAAAGCCTCCCCAGCTGACTGTGCTCAGTAATTGTAATAGTGCAGCAATGGCCAAAAATAACACAAATCAGAAAACTTCCATTGGAAGTTGAATACTACTGTGAGATACAAGGACACATCTCATTCTTACAGAAACAACAGCTTCTGCTTCTATACCTGTCTGAAAGTGGATTTTATTTCCTGTCATCTGCTATTCTGAAAGATCAGAGGTGGCCTGGACAATCTCTGGCATGGAAGATCAAACTGCAGCTGCAGTATCAAGCCCACAATTGCTGAGCAAGATGAAGCACCATTTTAAAAGAAATTCAGTGTTCAGCTGTTGAATGACAGTATCCCCCACACCTTTCAGGAAGTTAACATGAGGAATACTTACCTTTGAAGATATATGCCTTGTTACAGGCTCTTTAGTATCAGTTTGGGGCCAGCTGATTTTAGTGACTGACAGAATTAAAGAAAATCTACCTTCTTAAGGGCTCTTGGACTCCAGTCAAAATGCCACAATACCACTCCCAGGATAAAGAAATCCTAATTATTACACTTTGATTTTTTCCATTGCTACCCTAAAACCAGTTTGTCCATATGTTATGATCTTCCAGCTCTGTTGCAGCTTCCTCCCTCCAAATCACCAGTGCTGCTTTGCCCCTCACTGGTTCAATCCTTCCTCATGGCAGCTGTGTCCATGCTGATGTGTGATTCCTTTCCAAAGCCTCAGCATGTTCCTCAGCATTGTCCCTCAGTTAAACAGCCTTACTGCAACTGATGACAAGAGCTGTGTCACAGGGGTTTGACATGCAGAGTATTCTGAGCATTAGCCCACAAGACACAAACATACTGAGTTTCTGTATGTTTTGATAATTTGCTGTTTCATGAGGGACAGCATTAACAGGATTAGTAAACAACTGCAGCTCTTTAGACCATAAAAGCTGCTTTTCAAAAAGACACAGATTAGCTACTTTCATTGCTATCCCAGTGAAAGACTTTGCGAGTAAAAAAAATACAAAAAACATCCAGAGTAATTTCCAAATTAGGTATTTCCATCTCTTAAAATATAGTCTGATTTTCATTTCTGTCAGAGGCCTCTCCCCCCAACCAACAGCCTTGGCTGGATGAGGATGGTGAAGTAAACAATCCATCTTCCATCCAAACACACCCTCTCATCTAAGTCAGGAAATTTAGAGGAAACTTCCTCAGCACAAGAGGAAAAACTCAAAATATCAAAGATCCTGGAAAAGACACTTCAAGAGAGCAAAGCCTACAATGAGTAAATATGTAAAATTAGATTGTTTTAAGTTTTTTTCTCATTTCAGACCTTGCCTGAGTAAATGTTTTGGTTTTTAAATACATTTTTAATTGTTACAAGTTTCAGATCCTTCTAGTAAAATGCTTATTAGCACTACAAAGAAAAATACAGGCTTATCAATACTGTGAGAACATCAAAGACTCAAATAAAACTGATAAGCAGATCTGGCCTGCCTTATCTGTAACCAGCATCTTCCACTGTTTATTAACCCTCTACAAGGGCAGAACAATGGAATGCTGTAATCAGGCAGCATCCCTCACTGAGGTTTGAGAGCTGACACGAATATCAATCGTGCCTCATGTTCACTGCTGGAGTGGCATTTCCTGCAACTCTGCTTAGACTGCTACAGCACTGAGGCTGTCTTGTCTGGCAGAATGACAAAGATGCCAACCTAAACAGATACTTAATAAGATCCTAATATTTAAATAGGATCATTCTTTATTTTCTAATGTAGTGAAGAATTGCGTTTACACCTAATAGTGTGCAAGCAGCCTGTCCCATTGCCATCAGCAGGATTACAATCATTAACAAAGCAACTCAACCAGCAAAACACTTAATTTTCAGGGTTACATTTCTGCCTCTGCCAAAGTTACAATTTTGAAGTAACATTCTTTAGCAAAAGGATATTTTCCAAACAAAAAATCTCCACGATTGTCACAACATTTCAGCTAATGCATTAGAAATTTTAATTTCATGTTGTCATTATGGATTTCTCAGTTTCGAAGTCTCAAGCTGACTCAAAATTATTAATTGTTCTGAGCCTTTTAAAATATTATTGTGCAGCATTTTGCTACCTATAGCAGTATGTATCATTTAGAGGGTTTTTTTACATATACATAGGTGTCCTTTAAGCAAGAAAAACCCTCAAAATTTGACCCAAGACTTCGACAGAAAATAAATCTGTTGCCAAACAACATTTGGTTTCATGGCATCATCTGTATCCACATCTAAAAGTGTTTTTTCTGACTCAGTCATAAGACTGATGCTATGCTTGAAGAAATTCAGTCACAAGGCATTGAGAAACTCCAATATAAACACAGGCAAAGAAAACACTCAAAATGAATTTTATCTGGGAACAATGTTGCCGAGCTGTCAGAGGAGGAGGTTTGCCATGAGAGTAAACAGAGACTGCAATTGCTGCAGCTCAGTCTCCTTCCAGGAGATTTTGTCCTCCACATCCCCTCCCATCCCACCCCGCAGCAGCTGCTCATCACCAGCACGGCGGTGCAGAGAAGCCCTTAATGTGCCGCCAAGGGGCAGTTTAGCAGATGGCAGAGTGACATACAACCACAGCCATTAATTAAACTCCTCACTAGTCCCACAACGTGCTGCTGAAAGAACTTCCACGGAGAAGGCACATTTTGGATAAACAGTTGTAAACAGCTGGCTGCACAGCCTGAGCAAGGGGGCTCAGCTCAGCCCCAGGCTGTTTTAGGGCCCTGCCCTCCCTGTTCAAAGGAGCTGTACAGGCAACACAAGTCGTTGTCTTTCACAACCAGCCCCATTTACACTGCACCACAGAAGCTGTGGGTACACGGCTGTTAAAGGATGCAGAGTAGAAGATCTGGCTTAAACTGCTTCCCCTAAACAAGCAGGGGTTCAAGAAGCAGATGAAGGACACCTAATCATCAGGAAAATAACAAAAAACCCAAGCAGTTAAAAAAAACCCTCAGCTAATTATGGCAAAGGGAGGTTAATTCTTTGAAAAAGGTTAATTTTTTAAAATTTTGTCATAACAAAATAAGCTATGTGTTAGGCAAGTCTATTTTTCTTTAAGAAATACAGAGCTCTGGGCTTTCCAGGTGTATTGAAACATCTAGACTGAACATCAGGACAGATTTGCATTCTGTAGATATGACACTGCTTTCTTACCTGTTTTACTCCAAGTGTAAAGACAACTAGAACCTAGATAACCTGGAACTAAAAGTAAAGGCAGGACCTGGAACTAAAAGTAAAGGCAGGACCTGGAACTAAAAGTAAAGGCAGGACCTGGAACTAAATGTAAAGGCAGGACCTGGAACTAAA